TCACCTCGCAGATGGCGACCAACAGTGGTAGCAGGGCCACCACCTGGCTCCCAGGCACTGAGGGAGCTGGGCAGGAGACCCTGCCCTGATAGATCGCCCTGCAGGCAGGATAGTGGAACAGGTGAGGGGACGGCACCAGGCCAAGGTGGGGTGCCAGGCAGGGCTGTGGGAATGTGAGGCTAGGGGTACAAGGTGGGAACCAATCTCCACAGGCCACTCCAAGGGAACCCAACCTGGCACAAATTCATGCACCAGGCCTCTTGTCCTATATAATATAAGGGTAATATGCAAATTGACCCTAACTTGGAACAACCAGGAATGACCGTTCACTATGGTGTACACTGACTACCAAGGGGCAGACGCTCAATACAGGAGCTGCTTCCTGGTGATCAGTGCACTCCCACAGGGGGAGCTCCACTCAGCCACAAGCCAGGCTGATGGCTGTGAGCCCAGCGGCAGTCGGACATCCTGAGAACTGCCGCAGAGGCAAGAAAGGCTCCCACCACTGCTGTGCTAGCCAGCCATCAGCCCAGCTTCTTACTGAACAGCACTTCCCCTGTGGGAGCACAGTGACCACCAGGGGTCAGCTCCTGCATTGAGCATCTTCCCCCTGGTGGTCAATGTATGTCACAGCAACTGGTCATTCTGCTGTTCAGTCAATTTGCATATTAGTCTTTTATTATATAGGATTTATTGTAATTAACTTCCTTTCAATGTGCATGAATTCATGCACCAGGCCACTGTGAAAATAATAAAAAGATCAGTAGTTGCCAAGGGTTGGGGGGCAGAGGGACAGGAAAGTATGAAAGAATGAACAGGGCACAGACGATTTTAGGGCAGTGAAAATACTACATATGCTATACTAATAATGGACATATATCATTATTTATGTCTAAACTTACATACATATCATACAACATTAAAAATAAGCCCTAGCCTGGCTGGTGTGACTCAGAAGTTGAGCATCGACTTATGAACCAGGAGGTCACAGTTCCATTCCAGGTCAGGGCACATGCGTGGGTTGCAGGCTCCATCCCCAGTAGGGGACATTCAGGAGACATCTCATGAATGATTTTCTCTCATCACTGATGTTTGTATCTCTTTTTTCTTCTCTGAAATCAATCAATCAATAAAAATAATGAACCCTAAAGACGATGGATTTGAAGTGATTCTGATGTGACAATGTAGATTCATCCTTGGTAAAAATCATACCATTCTGTTGAGTGATAATGATAATGGAGGCTATGCATGTTTATGAGCAAGAACTATATGAGAAATGACTGTACCTTCCTCTCAGTTTTACTGTAAACCAAACACTAAAAATATTAAATACTAAACAATTTTTTTACCTTAAAGAAAAATCATCTTTTGAATTTTTACCAAATTACAAATTTCACTATCCTGGTTCTTTAAAAAGAAAAAGAATGAACAATATAAACTGATGAACAAAAATAGAACCAGAGTCATAGAAACATGGAGTAGACTGTCCCACCTATGAGGGAAGGTGGGGGGTGAGGGGCTAAAAAATCAACCAAAGGGCTGTATGCATGCATATGAGCATAACCAATGGACACAGATTGGGAGGGGGGGGAGATTGTGCTGGGGGCCAGGGAGGGTCAATGGGGGGAAAAGGAGACTTATGTAATACATTAAACAATAAAGAATTTAAAATTAAAAAAAATAAAGAAAAAGAAAAGAAACAGGATGATCCCACATCAGTATGCTGGAATTCAGCCAACATTTTCAGTCTCAGTTATGCTGTGTCACTTCTTGATCTCACCGACAGATCAACCATGTAGAAGGACAACTTATCAGGCACTCCATCAGAGGCATGTTGCTCTTATGGCAACAAGTCTGTGCTCATCCCTGAAATTTCTTTATTTTGCTAGAATTTAAATTCCTAGGTCAAAATAGTGAACATTCTTAATGTTTTTTATACATAGCCTTCAATTTTTTCCCATAAATGTACGTGATAACAGATTAAAAAACTGTAATGACCACCTACCACATACATGACACTGGGTTAAAAAATGACAATAGGACAATGGACAAGATAGCTTTATTCATGAAGCTCACCCAAATCAGAGATGGAAAGACAGATAAATAAGAAAGCAAATAAGATAACTAAATTGTGTAAACTGTAAAGGAAATAAACAAGGTGGTGTGATAGAGCAACTGGGAAAGCTCTCTTCTGTGAGGGCTTCTTATAGTTTTATTCTCAGTTTATTCCCAAGACAAACTGGCCAGACAGCCAAGCTGGGGATGGGAGGAGCAAGAAGTAGAGAGAAGACACACCACTCCTAGTAAAAATAACCAGAGAAATGGCAAGAAAAAGCTCTAGTTTTATCACAGACGTGTAAACTGGCTTAGGGAAAGTTATCGATTTGATTCAAGTCTTCAGAACAGGTGATATGTTGGGGGAAGGTAAGAGTAGACGCACAGCCTCTGGTTAGAGCAAGAGAATGAAGCTAGACTCTGAAGAGGTGCCCGATTAGGGGCTAGCATCCTGGAAGCAATAGTAACTCTACTTGCTGTGGGTGGAAGGTAAGCATAATCAGACTGGGCTATGCTCGGGGAAAATAACTTTTTTTTCCTAATATATTTTATTGATTTTGTACAGAGAGGAAGGGAGAGAGAGAGCTAGAAACGATGAGAGAGGAACATCGATTAGCTGCCTCTTGCACACCCCTACGGGGGATGTGCCCGCAACCAATCTACATGCCCTTGACCGGAATCGAACCCAGGACTCTTCAGTCCGCAGACCGACGCTCTTCCACTGAGCCAAACTGGTTTCAGCGGAAAATAACTTCTTTAGGAAAGTTTTGTTTGGTTGTTTTGTGTATGTGGGTGGGTGTTTGCACGGTGGGGAACTACACTTGGGAAACACATTAAGAGACCACTACAACTGGCTTGGTGAAAATTTTTAAAAACTGACCCTAAGAGGTAGCAATAGGAATGAAGAGAGAGAGACAGTGTGAAAGCAACTTGGAATGTTTGTCTGCAAGTATAAGCAATGGTACCAGAAATATACCTGCAGAATCCAGATGACATAAATCCAATTCTATAGCACTAAATAAACCCTGCTTATTTTCACAAAAGCGTTGGAATGTTTCCACAAACCCCAATGAGCCAAAGTTCTTTCTACTGAAGAGTATCATGCCTGAGAGAGTATCACCTATGTTTGGTGAGTATGGTTTCATAGTATCTTTTTTTTTAATCTCAGCAGATGTCTATACATATTAAGTAATTTAGTATTACAATTCTCACCCATTCTTAAACACAATGTAAACCACATTATTCTATTCAAATGGCACACAATTCCCAAAAGCAAACTATATGTTGCATTTTTTGTTTTTAAGTCCAAGTCCCACGATAGGCCTCAACAAATTAGAATTTGAAAATTATTTTAAAGAAACAAAAGGACTCATACCAGATTTAGTATGTTGAGAAGGCCCACTGCTATTTTTAGAATAAGCAACACTTTGCAATGTGCAACTTTTTCCAAATGATACTAACAAGGTCAAGGATCATATCCTATCTAAAAACAAGACCTATACAACATAGTTAGGAGCTCTTACAGTGGTTTATCTACAAGTGTCTTGGATTTTACTTATGCTTATTTTACATACATCTTTATGTTTATACATTTATATTTGTGTGTATGTTCTTAACATATGCTTTCATTCTATTCATTGATATTTTAACATATGGCAGTATTATATCGTACTGGTGGCCTTTAAAAAAAAATGCCTTGGATTTTTACCAGCATTTCACATTCATTGGATAACTTGGGACTCAGAACAACCTTGTGAAATATGATATGTAAGAAAAATATCATCTTCCTCTCTGAACAGTGGTGGAATTAAGAACTCAGAAAGGTTAAGTCACTTGACTAGTTCAAAATCGCACAGGAACTGGCAAGGGCAGGGTCCTGACCTGGCCTTCAGGCTCCGTTCCTGCTCTTCTCCCCGCAGGACACTGCCAATTTAACACTTTTAACATTCTTGTGTCTCCAACAAACCTGGACTGTAACTAAAAGCCACAATTCCAAAATGTTGCCGCTCTGCCAAAATTCTGAGTGTGACATGCAGCCGGAACACTAGTACTTTCCAGTAAACATAAACACGAACACACGTTTCAGTTCAGGACCCCGTTCAGCGGTGGGTTTGCTCCGCTGCACAAAACTCACTAAAATGCACTTCAGCCTTAGAGCAGAACCCTTCATGGGACTGTCTTTTTCACTCAATGGGAGATTCAGTAGATGCAAAAGGTGACTCAGAACTGTGGATGCCCAAAGAAATCAATGAATTACACAAACCCCTCTCCATCTCCACCCCACCCCCACCCCCAAAGTTGCCTAAGTGTCAAAGACGGAGGTGGGGCTGGAGCCAGCATTCCTCCTCCCTGCAACTCCCACCATCCCCAGGCAACCCACCCCCCAAAGCCCAGCGGGTCTCTTCCGACCCCCCCAATACCACCCCAATACCACCGAGACGAGAGTGAATACCGGCCCCTGAATCGTATACACACACACACACACACACACACACACACACACACACACACACACACTCCGAGACAAGAGCCCTGCCCAGGGCTAGGGCCCCCCCTTCCCCAGGCAGCCCCACCTGTACCGGGGGCCCGCACACCTGGGAGCCTCGGCCCCCGCAGAACACGCGCGGCGGGAACCGACCCGTGAACGCGGCGCCCCCGGGCCGCCGGGAGACCGGGGGTAAGTAAGCCCGCTTCCGCTTCCACCCCACATGGCCGCGGCAGACCGCGCCCCGCCCCCGCCGGCGCCCCAGGCCCCCCGGGCCCAGGGTCGCAGGGGCAGGAGTGGGGCGCCGGCGCCGCGGATGGGGGCGGGGGAGGAGGACGCGCAGCCGGCGCGCCGGCCCCGGGAGAGGAGGAGCGCGTCCGCACCGGCCGCGAGGGCAGGGAGAGGGCAGGGGAGGGGGAGAGGGGGCACCGCGGGCGCCGCGGGCGGGGGGCGGGCTCACCTGCGAGCAGAAGTAGGAGCCGTGGATGCCCAGCTTGATGCAGGTGGGGCACTGGAGCTTGGCCTCGCTGCTGCAGCCGTCCGTCTCGCACACCCGCGTCTCCACGGCCGCCATGCTGTCTGGCTGCTGGAGGAGCGCCTCACCGAGGAAGAGGAGGAGGAGGAGGAGGGAGGGAGGGAGGAACGGCCGGTGGAGGGAGGGAGGGCCGGGAGGGGAGAGAGGACGAGCGGGGGAGGAGCTGGGTCCGCCAGTCCCGGCGCGGAAGGAAGGAGAGCGCCCGACAGGCCCAGGCCCGGCTGCGCGCCCCGCCCCGGCCCCGGCGCGCGCAGCGGGCGCCCCGCCCCCCGACCTCGCCCCGCCCCCTCCGCCTCGCCCCGCCCCCCGGCGGCCGGCGCACGTGGGGGCTCCGGAGACCTCGCCGAGACCTCCGCTAGCGCGGAGGGTGGGAGCGCGGCCTCCCGGCGCGGGCGGAGAAGGCCGGGGGAGAGGGGGTTGTGGAGGGGGAAGCCCCGCGAGGACCGGCCCACGTGCCCCGCGCCCTCGGCGGAGAGACCGGTCCCCGCCGTCCCTCCCTGACCACCCCGGTGTCCTCAGCGTCCCCCGCGCTCCCGGCGGTTGGGAAGGGCGGTTCGCTCGGCGCCAGCCCACCCGGCAGCTCCGTGGGAAAGGGAAATAACGCCCCCTTTTTTTTTAAAGTTCGATTTCTCATTGACTCCGCTCTGAGGCCTAGGGCCCGCCGCTCATTCACAAAGAAATGGAGCGGGAGCGCGGTCTCCGAGGAGGTGGGCTGGGACGGCCCCCGGCCCTCCCAGGCGCCGGTATTTCTTACACACACACACACACACACACACACACACACACACACACACACCCCTCCATTCACAATCTTCGGTATTTCTTACACACACACACACACACATACACACACCTCCATTCACAATCTTCGGTGCTAATCATAGCAAGGCAGCGGCTACTATGTATTCACAAGCTTTAGTTATACTGTATCTGTATTTTTGTATCCCAGGTAATTTTAGAGGTAGATGGAGGAGACTTGTATCATGAAACGTCCGTTGCAAGGAGCATTAGAGGTCATCTGATGCACCTGTTGCCTCAATCTCTCCAAGGACATCACAGACCTGCCATCTTCTGACTTGTGCTTGAATACCTCCTGCCACTAGATAAGAGAGAGGAACTAAAATGTATTGGTCATCAACTAATCACTGTGAACTTTGTGATATCTAACCCATATATATTTTATTGATTTTTTACAGAGACGAAGGGAGAGAGAGAGAGAGCTAGAAACGTCGATGAGAGAGAAACATTGACCAACTGTCTCCTGCACAGTTGGGGCACCAACCCTTACTGGGGCACCAACCAAAGTACATGCCCTTGACCGGAATGGAACCTGGGACCTTTCAGTCCGCAGTCCTACACTCTACCACTGAGCCAAACCAGCTTCGGCACATATAAAATATTTTTTACAAAAATAGGAAAACATACCATGCAGAATATTTAGTCACCTGCTTCCTTCAATTATTATGTCATGAACTTCTTTTCTTGTCATTAAATATACTTTTACCAAATGATTTTGCCGTCTGCATAACATTCTATTATATGGATAATTTATTGAACCAAATTCACTAATAGGCATTTGGGTTATTTTTAATTGTTATATATTACACACAAGGCTTCAGTGAATACCCTTTTAATAAGAACTTTACATATAATACATCCTTATTTACTTAGGATATATTCTTTGGTTCCTGGGAGATATATAGTCTTGAGAGTGGAATCCATGCATCGGCTGTCAATTCATTTTTATACAGTTTGTCAAAATTTTCTTCAGAAGGTATGTACATGTTTATACTCTGGTCAGAACTGCACTAGAGATCATATTTCCTGAGACCATGCTAGTGCCAGTTATTATCTATTTTTAACGCTTGTAATTTTGATAAATGAAAATGGTGTCTTGTTTTTTTAGATTGTAGACATTTTTCTTATTAATATTTGTATTTTTCTTTTATGTTTTCTTTTATTAAAATTTCTTTTTTGCAGAAAAATACTTTAGAAGAAGCAGCAGCCAGACACAAATTGGCCACAATACCATCAACTAAACACATCACTGTTTCATTTGTCCTCACTACCTTTAGTCCTTGTCCAAGGGCATATTCAATGTTCACATATTGATCAAATGTTTTATTCTATATATTCATATAACATTATGCCATGGATTGCCAAAACCGGTTTGGCTCAGTGGATAGAGCATCGGCCTGAAGACTAAAATGTCCCAGGTTCAATTCCGGTCAAGGACATGTACCTTGGTTGCAGGCACATCCCCAGTAGGGGGTGTGCAGGAGGCAGCCGATTGATGTTTCTCTTTCATCAATGTTTCTAACTCTATCCTTCCTTCCTCTCTGTAAAAAATCAATAAAATATATTTTTTAAAAAAAAAAAAAAGCATGCCATGGATTACTTTTTGATTTAGAAAAACCAGTAAATCCTCTTCTATATGATAGCTCTTTATGTATTGGAGACAAAATATCATATCTTATAGTTTGTCAGTTCTGACAACATCTTGTATTATATAAAACGTTTAGATCCCTTGTAATCCATGTCCATCTACTCTAAAGAAATTCTAGTTTGTTGACCGTAATGGGTTATATTCAAGATTGAACTAATAAGGTTCAGGAACAAGAATTTCTGAAAATTCTGGTCCCAAAGACCCTAAGGTTTCTTCTTGGGCACAGGGAGAGTAGAGATTGTCCTGCCCCTACTGACCGTCTGCCCTGGGCACTGCTCTTCCTTGAATGAGTTAGGAAAGCAGTGCTGTGGGCAATAAGAAAACCTCTTTGCCTTCAACCCTGCTCCTTTAGTCATGTTTTCATGGGCAAATTGTTTAACTTCATTTCCCATATCTGAAAAATGCAGATTAGAGTACCTATCCCATAGAGTCTGTTGTGATTAAGTTGGGTAGAAATTGTGTAGTGCTTAAGAGCCCAAAAAGTACTTGTTCGTCTTATCTCTCACTGTTCTTCATGCTTTGGCCTTGACCCTCCAGCAATAGCAAACTGCTCACAGTTCCCTGAGCACACAATGCTCTTTTATTTTTGCATGTTCTTGTCACTATTTCTTTAAAATCCAGCATAGGCATCACTTCACCCATTAAACTTTTGCTGACTTCCTCTGTGCTACCCCTAAACAAGGAACAAAGTGCAATTGTTGCAGTTAATAATTTTAGTTAGCGTTTATTAAGGGCTTACCAAATGCTAGTTATGAGTACATATAGATGCTAATGGGTTTACTTTTCATCTTCATGCGGCCTCTATAAGGAAGGTTTAGTACTAATCCCATTTTTTCTCTCTAGCCCAAGGTCACATACCAGTAGGTGACTGAGCCTGGACTTGAGCTGTCTTAATCACTATACTCAATGACTTTAATTTTTCACCCGTCTCTCATCTACCAGACTGTGACTTTCTTGTGACAGGAGAGTTTTATTTATCATTTTTCTCTATATTCCCAACCTTTAACCCTATCACAATGCTTCGTATAATAAATGTTCAATAAGGGTTTTCCTTCTTACTTTTTTTTATAAATATGATCTCAAATATACAAAAAAGAAAAAATATATAGGGTGTCTGTGTGTGTGTGTGTGTGTGTGTGTGTGTGTGTGTGTGTAGAAGAGAGAAGAGAGAACACATTCCAACCGGGCAAGAAGCAGGAGACACTGTCAAGCTGGGAAATTTGAGAAGAGTGAAGAATTTAATAAAGGGTCCATATGTTAAGGCATGCACAGTTAACAATGGGGTAACATTCCATTCCATTCCAAGGAATAAGGGGACAGGAAAAATACCAAAATCCAAAGTGATCTGGGTAGAGAGAGCTTCCTAACAGGAGTTGCAACCTTTGGTTAAGAAACATAGCCAGGCTGGTGTGGGTCAGTGGTTGAGTGTCAACCTATGAGCCAAGAGGTGCCTGGTTCCCTTCTAATCAGGACACATGCCTGGGTTGCAGGCTCAACCCCAGTAGGGGGCATGCAGGAGGCAGCTGACCAATGATTCTCATCATTGATGTTTCTCTCCCCCTCTGAAATCAATTCTTAAAATATTAAAAATAAGTGAAATTGAATAATGAAATTTTCTGATAAGGAATACCATTTTCCTTGCTCTGTCATATGATAAACATCATGGTATAAACAAAGGGTTGGGAGTCGGGAAACGGCTCCATGTGTATGTATCCTAACTGTTTTGTGGAAGTCACTTAAAATCATTGAGCTTTTGTTTCCTCCTCTGTAAAACGTTGTTATAAAAATCAAATGAACCAGTGCTTCTGAAAGCACTTTGTAAAGCGCCACATGAATGTAAATGACCACTGTTTATTGTTGCCCCACCTCCTTCAGTAACATGTCTTGTGAGACCAGACACCTTGTCTCTTATTTGTTTGCTATTATGTCTTTCTTGCCCAGAATGAGGGCTGGCACTGAATAGACACTTCATTAATCAGGGGAAGAAAACTGCTAAAACAATCCCGAAATTCTCAGTGGCTTAAGAAAATCAAAGTTTACATTCCCCTTATGTCAGAATCATCTGTATATGTCAGCCGAGAAAGCCCTGCTCTCCCACTCAATCAGAGATGTCAGATTCATCTTTTCTCTCTACCATGGTTAGGTCTTTGGGAACCTCACCTGAGGATAGGCTGGCACACGAGCAATTGTGTTTGTGAAATTTAGCAGGTCGACCCTGGGAGTGCTGCTCTTCACGCTACATTGGCTAAAAGTCAATCACTGATCACATAGTGCTCTAACGGATGCTAGACATGTAGAAATAAGCGAAAATGAGTTTGATCCGCATCTAGCTGTCAGCATCTATTATTCAAGAGGTATTTGCAGAATAAGTAAATGAGTGAATAAATGAATGCAATTTACACATAGGAGTGCAGCCTAATACACACTATTCATTTTTAGCATCTCAATAATGCTTTCATATTGAATTTGTGTCATCTAAAATGTCTAAAGCACTTTTACTGTGTGTGCAGTTAAGCCCCATTGAGAATTGACTTGCTTCTCAAGAATTCTGTTCCCCAGGTTTGGAAGGATTGGTTATCAAATGCTGATGCTG